CACACCGCCGCTATTGCCCCATCCTGCAGATGAGGAAACAGGCACGCTGGTTGGTCACCCGCTCAGGGCGACCCGGCCAGTGGATGGCGGAACCAGGTTTCCACAGTCCACCGCTGTGTGCGCCACATGGGTTGTGTCTGCGTCTCTGCTCAGGGCCCGCCCAACAGCCAGGTCTCCCCTGCTCCTTCCCCACGGAAGGTGGTGAGAGTGGCTTCGGAGGGGGCTGGTCCTGGGGGACCTCTGGGGAAACCCCTCCTTCACTCACACTCAGCTTGGCTCCGGGGGGAGTCCAGTGCCCCAGGATGGGAAGGGGGGAAAGGCTGGGTGTGGGTTTATTTACCTGAGAGATGAGTGGAGGGCAGAGCTCTCCCCTCCAGGCCTTCTCACCTTCCTGAGCCACATCAATCCACAAAGTCGTCTGCCATCCCTGCCCCCACGGACAACGGGACCCTCCGCCCTGTCCCCCTCAGCACCTGGCTCCCGCCAGCCAGGGAGCCCACAGGCCTGAGCTGGCCTGGGGAGGGTGGTGGGAGCCCCGCCCCTCCACAGCTGGGGAGTCCAGGCTTGGAATCAAATGGGAAAATGTCAAAACTAGAGAGGCCCTTAGAGCTTCCCCATTCACTGATGCAGCCTCAGGGTGTGCGAAGGGGGTGGGGGAAGCAGGGAGAGGGGGGGCAGAGAGGGGGGGAGGAGAGTATGGGTGTCCAGGCTCAGAACACACCCAGCCTGCCCCCCCTCTGCCTTCGCCCAGGCCCAGCCCCCTGAGCACTTCCATTTTCCACATTCCTCCCACCATTTGGGGCCCCATTTAAACTCTGCCTCTTCCATAGACACTTCCCCCATCGACCGCTCCACTTGGACTTGGTGCTGGCTCTGCCGTCGGGGTGCCAGTGCCCTGATGCCCACTCCCCAGCGGCCCCAGCTCCCAGGCAGGGTATGAAATGCTCCCCCCTCCTACCTTCCTCCTGAGGAGAGACACAGGGGTTTGGTGTGGGGGTCAGCAGGGGCACAGAAGTACATAAGGAAGGTGGGTGTGGGGCATTCCACCCAACGCTATCTGGGCACAAGGCCTCTGAGCCTGAGCCCCAATTCCTATCTGTGGGGGAAGAGCCTGCTGTCACTGGCCAGCCCCTAGCCCAGCCCGGGTCCCCATGGTAACAGGGGCCAGCAGTCCAGCTTGGCCTTGGGGTTCAGCCAGGGCACGGGTGCCAGGGGGCTCTGGGGCATGGCTTGCTTCGCGGTGTGACATCTTCTGCTCCTTGTCCCTTCCCATTCCACACCTGCAGGCTTGGCTTTTACGCAGCTTGCTCCTTTACCGCCAGGAGAGGCCAGTGGTGGCCCCAGCGGGGAGGCGGCATGGAGAGTGGTCCAGGCCTGGCTTCCGTCCCCATCCGGGCCCTGGCCGCTCTAGGCTGTGGCTGTGTGACGTGTGGCCCGTCCTTCACTCCTCTGGCCTCAGCTTCCCAGTTTATAAAAAGGAAACAACTGCTATGGATGCTGTCAAATTGTCAGCTGGGAGCAAGGACACCCCCTGGGAAGGCTCAAATATCCTCACAAGAATGGGGGAGGGAAAAGAGACCCTCTTATGTGGTCCAGGCTCAGTTTACCTAAACGTTGCCTGACTTTCTCTCTTGACCAGAGGGAGCTGGGAGGAAGGGAGAAGGGCAGGGTTCGTTAACATTTATGGGGGGGGGGGGCAGCAGGAGGTGATAGGGGAAGTGAGAAGTAGCCTAGGCCGCACAGTGGTTAATCCTCACTCCGGAGTGACAAGTTCGATCCCCCCAGCTGGGATGTCTCACACCTGTTTGTCCTGACAGCCCGGCTGGGGCAGACACAGCCCACCTGCCGACCTGCCCCTTGCCTTGCTGCTTTGCCCCCACCCACACTTTTCCTGTGGAGACCCAGAGGCGTGGGGGCTGAGGGTGGGGCCGGGGGAAGGGCCCTCAGCAGTGCAGGTAGACCCCATCTTTGCTCTGTGACCCCCACTGCCTGCCCCACAGGGAAGTCAAGCTGGCAACAGGGTAGCCGTTGAGTGCCCTTGTGCGCAGACCCATGGCTGAGCCGAGGACTGGGGAGAAGTCCTGCGAGGCTGTGTGCTGCCCCTGCTCGGGCTGCAGTGTCGCGGGCATTCCGGGCTCAGTTCTGGCTGCAGCGCCCAGTTTATGCAACTTTCGAGCGCCGGGTGCTGCCTGCCGCTGCCTCGCACCCACAGGGTGGCTAAAAACAAGGGCTCTGGGGCCAGACCACCTGGGAGTGGATTCTGGCTCCTCCACCGGCTGTGTGACTCTCTACACCTGAGAAACAGGGCTAATGACACCCACCTCCAGGCACGGCTGCGAGGGTTACAGGAGCGAGTCCTGTAGGACAGAGCGGGGCCCAGCTCTCAGGGTCATCACTGCAATCGGATCCGTCTTCTTCCTGCCCGAACCTCCAAGCTCGTTCTGCCGCAGGCCCTTTGCACTCTGTTCCTGCTCCTAGGACTGTCTGCCAGCTCCTCACTTGGCCGGCTGTGTCCTCACCGTCAACCGCTGCCTCTGAGAAACCTCAGAGCTCCTCACTAAGTGCTCTTCCACCCTGGAAAGCAGCCCGTTTTACCTCCTCCAATGCACTTGAAAGTAATTGAAATTATGTTGTTGGCTTTTTTAAAAATTTAAATTCTTTAAAGTATTACATAAGTCTCCTTTCCCCCCACTGACCTCTCCCCGGCCGTTCCCACCCCCAGTACATGCCCTGACACCCCTGCTGTCTGTGCCCATTGGTTATGCTCTGTTGTTGGCTTTCCTTTCCACTGGGCTGTAGGGTGCTTGAAGGTGAGGACTTTGTCTTGTTCGCCCTGCATCACTGGGGCAGGGAGCCATGGCCAACGCCAGCTGCCCCCCCGGAGCCGGGCCTGAACTGTTGTGCCTTTTCATTCTGATTAATGTGAGGTCAGCGGCCCCGTTCCCATGTGTGGGCCCGTGCTCCCTTCATCCCGTGGGGTGTAGAATACAGCAGCAGGAAGGCCAGCCCGCCCTCTGCCACCTCAAGAGAATGGCAGAGCTGAGTGGGAGGCCCCGGCCGGCTCGCTGACCTTCGGTGTGGGTGTCCACAGCCCTCCTCTGGGACCCGGACCTGCGGGTCCTGGGGGACGGCAGGGCCAGCTCCCTATCAGCTCACTGCAGGCCTGGCCAGCGGAGGTGCTGGGAGGGGCAGGGGCAGCCCAGCAGGGGCCCTACCAGTATAACCCGAGTCAGGGCCATCTGCCTGTCACCATGGATGAACTGGCTCCAAGTGGCGCTGCAGGCCTGGGAGAGGGCAGGAGGCCAGAGCATGCAGGGTCATCACCCCTTTCCAATCCTCCGTCGGTCTCAGCTCCGAGAGCTGCCTGGGGAGTCTAGCATTGGAGCTGAAAGTGCTCACCCGTCCACCTCCCGTGGGAGACACTAACAGCGCCCTGGAGCCCAGCTGCTCTACCTGGGAGGGTTTCCTCGAAGGTGCAGGCCTCTGGGCTCCTGCCCAGCACAGACCTTCCCACAAGTGAGCAGGACACACGCCTGAGAGGACAGCACTAGCTTGTGCCCCGAGGCTCCCACAGATGCACCCGCTCTGGCCGGTCCCACAGGCTGGCCCTTCCTGAGCCGCCTCATGCCAGGAGCCGCGGGCAGTTCTGTCCCTAGAAAACAGGGCCTGCCCGAAGGGAGTGTGGGTGCAGGAGGACCCACAGCAGCGCTGGCTTCCTCCCTCAGGCCAGGGGCAGAGGTCAGAGCTGGGTCAGGGACTGAGACACTTGATTCCTCCCCCAAAGAAGGCGGTGAGAGGTGCCAGGACAAGAGGGAGATGACGGAGCAGACCTGGCAGGGCCTGGCGCCCAGGGCAGATGTGGTGGCACACGCCGCCCTCTGCTGGGCACAAGGGCTCACTGCAGCCGGCAACAAGTAGGGCTCCTTGGAAGAGATGCAGACACAGGTCTTGGCAAAGCAAACTTTATTGTGTCCCTGAGGTTGGGGTTCTTCCCTCCAGGTCCTG